TCACTGTGGTGCTCTGCTATCTGCCCTTTGTGTACAAACATCTCAATGACTCTTTTACTGATGAGGAGAGGGACTGGCAGCAGGTTCGACAAGGCTGGGAGTGAAGTTTGGCCTGGCCACGCCCGGCTCAAGAATTGAGAGCATCCTCATGTACCTCCCACTCCCCGCAAAGTGGGAGTACAGGAACGAGCCTGCCAAAGGCACCCGGGAGGTTGAGATGCTGGACGCGTTACGAAACCCCAAAGACTGGGTGTGACCAGAGCACCCCCAGGTTTGGACGTGAGTATGGGCAAAAATGTCTATTTTATAAAGCTGGCCTGATCGACCAGCTCGGCAACATTTAATACTGCTTTTATAACATGGAGCTGAACTGTAGTGCCTGAAGACCTTTTTCTATTTTAGGGGAGGCCGTAGCTCAGGCCGTAGAGCAGGTCATCTAATGATCGGAAGGTTGGTGGTTCGATTCCTGGCTTCCCCTAGTCTGCATACCGAATATCCTTGGGCAAGATACTAACCCCAAACTGCTCTCCGATGCATCCATCGGAGTATGAATGTGTGTGTACTAAGAAAATGTTAGAACCAGTCCATTGCCATTTAATGTGATTGTTAAAAAGTCCTCCCATGCAGGTAGCGCATGGGAGGACTTGCAGGTTCCCCACGCACGGGGTGAGTGCGCACCCTCTCATTGCTGTGGCAATTAACAGTGTTAAACCAGTGTTAAACCAGTGCTAAACCAGTGTTGCTTAAAGTTCAGACATTTGGTCAGTCCGACTCGGCCTCCCAGGTGGGACTGCAGCTGTCAAGACACGCCTTGGCTGGACCCTACAAGGGCCAACTCAAGATGTAAGGAAGCAGTTGAGAGAGCAACAGTGCTACTTCACCACCTCTCAGTCCTCAGGTGTAGACCTGCTGCGAGATGTTGAAAGACTTTGGCAAATGGATGTGCTACCCTGGCGCAGTACCAAAGTCGGCAGAAAAGACCAAGACGCTATTAAGCTTCTCGAGACT